AACTATGAGAATCTTTAAAAACATAAAACTCGGAAATATACTTAATATTATAATAAAATAACTAAAAATGTTCGTTTGACGATCAATTATCCTGGCGACCAATTTGCCCGCGATCAATTCACCGGCGATCAATTGTTCGCGACCAATTCACCGGATACCCTGTGGGACACCCTGATAGGTAYCACTCAAATTCATACCTATATGTATGTTGATTATTATTTGCGTTTCATAAAAAATCTCATATTGCTAAAGAATATTATGGTTGCTATTAATATTTTAAATGCGAGATTTTTACTTATATATTAGCTCAATTTTAATTTTGTGGTACCAATCATTAACTACCTATTTTATATTTTTAGCTACTCCAATTTTTTAAATGGTAATTTTGTATATAATTGTTTAATGTATGCAATTGTAATACTTTGTTACAATAACAATAAACAAAATATTACTTCTTTTAAAAAAAATATATAGGAATATTATAATAAAATATCACTTGCAAATTTGCATACTAACTAAAATAATGGATATGATTACAACACAAATATCTTGTAACTAATATATATATATTATATATGTTATGATGAATGTGGAAATTATGACATTGGCCGGGAAATTTAGTCATTAACCTAAAAATCGAAAATAATGTCCGGTCATTGTACTCAATGGCCAGTTATGAGTTGGTCTTAAGCATTAAATAGATCTGCCTAAGTAATTTGAACAGTTTATGATCAAAAGAAGATACTCCATGCAGGAGGAGTTATGAAACATACTCCTWGTAAGYATAWCTCTGTCCTTATCGAAATGCATAAATCAGAATTTAAAATGCTTAATCAGCACCAGACAAAAAAACAACAATTGCAATCTTGCGACTTAGTTGAAAATGCTATAACTATGTCAACTTTGACAACTCAATCTTTGGAATTTACGCGAAAGGTCTCTTTTTTTTTATATAGATACTAGGTACATAATATTTAGTTACCTACTATAAACTTTTTTATGTGCCGTGTTTTTGTATGAATTTAGTTATTTTCTGTTTTATAGTGTCTTTATTTTATTTTAGCATATGCATATACACTTGTGTCCCATGTATTGGACACGAATTTAAAAAAGTATTATTTTTTTTTGATACGAAACCAATGTAACCGAACTTTATAAATCTTGATAATTTTGCCAAAACCATTACGATACAGGAGACAACGGCTGTTAGTTTTATAAGTGGTAATTATAAATTATCTCAACGTCTATCTCAGTTGGAATATCTGCGAAGTGATTATTTTTAAAAATCTATAATTATAATACGTACTTGGTGTCGTGAATTATTTGTTAGTTTTAGTAATTTTGATCTATTATTTGTTGAAGCTTAATAATAGTGTAATTTAGTAGCAACCAAAATTGGTGAAATAGCAACCAAAAGATCTCGTATCCACCAAATGAAAATGATACATATTTTTTAACACGTCGGCTTAGGACGTTATACTAATTAGCTAATTATTTTTTTATTTGSTATGATTTTGTTCGAACTCGGATAGGGTATGCAGGTTATTAGAAGTGATTGGTAATTTAGCCAAAGCTATATAATGATATGTTGAATAATATCAACCGGTTCAACCTCCTTTTCCGAAATGCGCAATGCGCTCGACCATCGCAGTGGCAAACGGCCTGCACAACGATTATTTACCTTCTTTGAACTGCTTGAACAGTACGTCGAGTGTGGTGTCTTCAAATACGAAATAACACGGATTCTGGTAGAATTGGCACAGCGTTTTAAGCAATGTGTTGTCGTCGGGATCGACCAGCGCCAAGTCCTTGATGTACAACATGGTGACAATGTTTTGACGGTTGCCCTCGTACACGGGTATCCTCGAATATCCTGCAGATAAAAATAAATAAAAACAACATACATGATTCAGGCATGAAAAAGGAAAGAAAAAAAATTGAAAAACATTTTGAAAGCAATCTGCAAATGACGGTTATCCGCAAATGTCCGCACGCGCGAACACGTGACATTCGTGGTATAAAATGGTAATACTTTAAAAGCCGCCGAAAGTTGAGAATACATTTGAATTGATTGCGCGTACGTGTGAGTGACAGCGAGCTAGAACGTGAGTTGAAAGATCTTAAGATACCCTCGGGGCTATATTATTAAGTACCTACACATTTCCTAAAGGTAATTTCTAAAATGTGCAGATTTGATGCGAGACACACACATATTGATCCGATATTTTACACGCAGTAGGTTAGCGGGTATTTTATACAGTATTATATACGTTTCTCGTAATGTAAATACAAATGCGTTTTGAAGTCGAGAACAACCCTTCGGCCTATTGGAAAAAAAGAATAACGTAAAAAATTTCGCACGAGTTACACGCCGCTGCTCTACGTCGTTGCCGGTACGGCGGCAGCGTTATATTTATAGTTGGGACTTGGGCGGTGGCGGCGGTTCCCCTTTGGCCCGGTGCCCACGGACTTCTCAAAACGGATTTAATTTAAATTTAAATTTAAATTTTTTTAAACTTTTTACTCGTTATCCGCTGCCCACTCTATACACAACGGGACCATTGATACCAGAAATATTTATGAAATAATATAAAGTCGAAAAATCTTTCAAATGTCGCGCACCTGCAGAGTAGAGTATATAACCACCACGGCTCGGGAAAAATATAAATATAGATCATAATATAATATGCGAACCGCATGGCGGACAGTATACAGGCGATTGCCAAAAATCGATTTAAATATATTTTGTAGATTCCTATGGTTTTTATTTTTATTTTTTACTTTTATGATGACGGACGACTGCTGCGGCAGTTATGTTATTCATTAAAACAGATATGGTAATTATATTTAACAATATAAAATAATATTATTGGTGTTAAGACTAAATTACAATGYTATGTACCAAAYATTTTTGAAACCAAAACGGTTTGATCAGAGCACTCGGGGCCGTTTGCRGCGGAGAGGCAACGGGACTATTTTGCCCCATTTTTGGAATATTTTCAGGGGGCCTTAAAGTCTTGTTGTATAATCATTAATGACTGTCACCGATATTGAGCTATTTCTCGACTAGGTAAATGTACCGATTACGTCTTTATTATTGGTGTAAACAAATAATTTTTGTTGCTTCAGTCATATAATGGTAATAACGATACTCCAATCATTTATATTATATTGAGGCTCAATTTGCTACGGTTAGTGACGAGTGCAGACAATATACAGGGTGTCCCGCGAGGATTTACCCATTGCGATATCTCATATGAAATAATGAAGATATATCAAAATTCTGGTTTTATAATAAGATTCATAGGGATAAGATTTACAATTATTTCATTTTTTAATTAATTTTTCTGAAAATATTGACGTTTCAAAATTTTATTTTCATTAATTTCCTGATTTTTAATACTTTTTCTAGTTTTGAAGAAATTAAATATGATTAAAAATTTATAACTATTAGGAACACGGAAAGTATTCGGCCGGCCGTATAGGAATGCGCGCGGCGCGGTGGGTCACATGTTAAATGTTTGATAACATTATGGTGTTAAATAATTCGCAATTTTTCTCGAAACTAAAAAAAAATATTAAAAATCAGAAAATTAATGAAAATAAAATTTTGAAAAGTCAATATTTTCAGAAAAATAAACTCTACAAAATGGCTATCTTTAATACTTTTTTAGAAATAATTAAATATAAAAATATATTTTTTAAACTTTTTTACCAGAACATTAAAATAAATTAAAATATGTATTAATTGTAGTTCTTATCCCTGTGAGTCTTATTACAAAATCAGRATTTCGATATCACCATTATTTCGGCAGATATCGCAATGGGTAAATCCACACGGGACACCCTGTATTTTATTTTAGACGAAAACCACGAACATTCACAATCATTTAGGAATAAATTGTACGTTTTAGTATATTTGATAGTACATTTCTAAAAAATTGTTGAAAATGTAATGCAGTACGTGAATTTTAACGATCTTGGTTGGTTGAGGGTTGGAATAATACGTTTGTAAGAATTGTTTTAATCTCAGAGAGTATTTTGTTTATCACATCGTATTATGATCGTCGAAAGGCTCCCATGTCAGTTTGCCGCAGACCCCGAAAACTCTCGGTATAATAGTCCTGGCTAAACTCACAAACAATCTTTCGTTTGGACACATACGGAATTAATATTGAAATGGAAATAATCAAAAAAATAAATTAATATGGCAATGTGTTTATATCAAACATATTATATTAACACGCAAGAGTAGGCATATAATTGTTTTGTATTTTTTTTTTTTTACCTAATCCGAAGATATAGCCATAGCTGATTGTCATATTATACGCATAAATAAATCGTATTGCAAACATTTTAATTGTATTTTGTGAATGTTTTTAGTATTTSGATAACACATAACAGCATGATGTACCTACACAGTRTGTACAGACACGTTATATTATGCACCCCATACTTCCAATTATTGATTTTATGTTAAAATTATATGGTAATAATATTTATTGCTCGGGCGTGAATAAACAAAACAGTTAAGAATTTAAATTTATTATCATTGATTTACTTAATAGTTAATGGTAACTATATTATATATGCGTAAAATTTTGACTAAAAGTTGTATTTTTGTTATCTTTCAATATTACTTTGCTATGGCATTTTATCCAATAAAAAAAATCTTATCATTTACTATGAAATTGATTTGTTTTAATACACCACTATTCAGAGGAACTTTGCATAATACATTAAATTTTTATCAAAAAATATCTTTAATTTAGTTCAATTATTTAATTTAAAGTATTACAATTATTATTTAGTTTAATCTGCCAATTATATACTACACTGCGATATACCAACTTGCGGGTTAAAATATGCCGAACGAATAGTGATTACAGTGATAATAACTATTTCGTTGATATCAGGTCGAAACAACTGTAAAATATATAGGTAGTAAAATCTTTACATACCGGATTTCATGATTTCTGAGACGGTTTCAAAGTCCAACACCGTATCGTATGACAGCATGTACACGTCCTCCAATTTGGTCATTACATCGCCGACTTTTTTGCGATGGAGTTCGAGGGCTCCAGAAATGATATTAACTTCGTCTTTTTCCAAGTCGTTGTATTCGTCACCAGTCATCTATATGGAACGCATAAAAATACATTAATACAAATTTGTACGTCGTTAGGTACTRCAAGACAAATAAATGTAAACTTTGACACACAACGCACAAATACGCTGCAGCGCTATCAAATAAATATGTAWATTAATWTTAAATCAATAAATAATTCATACAAAATATCGAGCTAAGAATCTCATATTATTGGGATGTATTTTTATGTTATTACTTTTGCATCACAATATAAAATATGATGTTTCTAAAAAAAAAAAAAAACGAATAAGAGACATTGTTTTAATGCTGAACATTAAAAGAAGTATTCAAAACTATACGGCGTGTATATAATAATATGATGTATTATAGTAGTTTTAAGAAATAATAAAATTTTCCTTCCTCGTTGAGTTTATAAGTGACTACTTAATTTTATTTTGTACGATATTTAATTCATGAATATACGAATATATTTTAGTTCTTTTGGAAATATAATAAATTATTCATAAAAYCGGGCACACAATAGTTCTGCTCCGAATAAATTTACTTATTTTTCTCGACAAAACGGCCCTATTGCAGCACGTTGGTATAGATACAATACGATGTTCGGTGTTATATGTATACATATAGTGTGTCAGGTCTTGTTAATGATTTTTCGTATCACTGCGAAACAACGTTTCTTAGCATGTGTAGGTGTACACACACAGTAATCATTGAACGGTTAAAATACGGTAAGATCAATAACTCGGCGGACTGTTGGTTTATTATTATTATTATTTTTTTTTTTTTTGCAGAAGCAGTTGACCTCAAGTGTTGTAAACGTACCAGTGATTTTGACTGTAAAATTCGCTAAGCATTTTCATAAATGTGATTTTTATATTTTAGTCACCTGTACCTACGATTGATTGGCAAAGTTAAAAGTAAAATTTAAGTAGACAGCTGTAAATCCTTGTTGGCAACTGCAGTGGAATAGTGAAATGAAAGCGAGTCATGGTAAAACGAATTAAAATTGTTATTATTTTTCTTGTGAACATTATCTTTTCTGGCCAATGATGATTCAGCATCAATTAAGCGATGTAGGATTTTTTTTTTTAAATTAACTCAAACGAATATGACATAATAATAAATAAGTAACATAACACAAACGACCGTTATGCAGTTATCATTACGTATGTGTAACTATTATATTATATAATTTATGATGAAAAATCAACTTCTAGTGTAAAATTTTGATAAGATTATCAATAAATCGACTAACCTGACAGGTTTAACAAAAAGTTTCCAATATAATATAATTAGGTATTTAAAATCGTGTAGGCATGCTTAAACGTGATGTTTCTTTCACTAAAACTTGAAAAGATGTTGATTTTTCTTTTTAATTCATCCACCTGTAATATTAGACACTATTGCCGGGGACAGGCGTATCTGCAGGTCATGTGTTCAAATGAAATTGATTTTTCGTCGATTACAGTGACGACTGGACGAGATTAAAATCGCACGACTCAAAACGTTTGCGTTTCACAGGTGCCAGTAAATAATGTTATTGTCTGCACTTTTTTGTAGTAGTCAGTTGATAAAACGGTTTCAATGCGAAATCGAATCAGAAACATAAACGGATTACGATGAATGAGATAATTTTGGTAACTGATCGAAAATACCATTATTGCAATATATCGATGGACATTGGTATAATGTAGTTTGAAAAGAAAAACTTTTAGAGATCTTATCGTGTGAACCGTACCTACAAGGTATAGTACCATTCAATTAAACACAAACCTTTAATCAGTCTTTACACATGTCTAGCGACTTTTAGACAGTGTGCAATTCAATTACAAGTATTTCCAAGTTTTTGCAGAGTTGGAGTGACTTTTTTTTTTCTTAAATCACGCGACAGTATAGCTGACGGCGGCTATTAAAATCAAACCGTTATTGACCATTTGCGGTTTAACCGGTGTATACGTTTTATCACTGGACGTGAATTAATAAATTATTGGAAAACGTTTTATATAGGGGAACCATATATAATCACGAATAGGTATAAATAAAAATCAAGTACGTGTTCAAATATGTTTTAGTTGCATTTCATCAGTAATAAGATTTTTTAAATAATGTAGGTACTATACTGTTGAGAGTGTAAATACTAAATATAAACCATAGAATGCGATTTACGCAGTTATTTAAAGACAAATCCATTTCGTGAAGTCTGTAAAAAACAATCTTTGCAGCTGTAATAACCGATCACTATTGTTAGAAAAAAAATAGTATAAACGATTTTTAATTAATAATAATTAGTAATGATTTTAATTAATTCAAAAATAAAATTCAAGGTATTGGAAATACACTTGGGAAAATACAGAGTGAAAACGAATAGTTTAATACTTTAATTCTACAATTTAAAAAAAATGTACTTTAGATCAGCACGATCTGCACGAATGTCTGGAACTCTCATTTAGAAACGAATTGCTTACGCCTCCAACACTATATTATTTATTATTAATATCGATAACCGTTCGCAAACAAACCTCCAGAGAATGCAATGATGTGAATATGTGCGGTGGTGCAATATGTGACGATCTACAAACGAAGTTGACCTACCTAATTATTATTAGTCGTGGACCGCGGTGTGTCCTGGTTGTAAACTGGTGACCAACCAATAAAATCCATCAACAGGGCTCTAYGATACACAAATTAAATTTAACGTTTAAAAAGCGAGTTAAGCGAAATTGGTCGATTAAAATAAACGCGTTATGCCTTTACAGCATTGGCACAACTAGGGGGAGGGAGGCGCTTAAGGTTTTTAGCATCCCCTAAGTCAAAATTAGGACCCTTAAAAATTAATTTAAAAGTCAAGTCTCACAAAGTAGCCCCTTGTTCAAATATCTGGCTGCGCCGATGGCTTATATAGAGCAACTATTTGTTGTCTGTGCAATATAAAAGGTTAGGTTAACGGGCTGTCACGGTCGGTATATGTATGACAAGTTGTAAATTTTAATATTACCAACGACATTTTGTCGACCCACAAATGCTCGCGCAGTTACGTACATATTATCCTATTCTCATAATAAAAAGCGTATAGAATCATCTAAATAATGTATGGCATTAAAAGCTAAACAACTTGAAGAACAATGATGGCGGCGGCGTGTTTATCGCATCCAGACACAAGGGAGCCATAAATTTTGAAGTCGTATCTCCAATACTAGAAAACATTGTTTAAGTAACAACAGGTATATGTCACCAGCGGCTATACCGGTGATTTGAAATTTTTAAGGTRCAAACTACTGATTGTATAATATAGTAAATTGTATTTATTATTATTTTTTTTATTAAGAACTTTCAGTATAACTTTATTATAGTTCAACAATTGTCAATTACAGATTAATACCTATATAGATAGGCGAATGATTTAAATATAACAATAAAAACAAATRGTAAATTGTAATTGTAAGATAAACGGTATATTATTACACTTATTTATTTTATCAATTAAAGAGTTAATGAATCAACATTTTTTTTTTTAATGACAATATTTTTTTTTAATAGTTTTCAAATGTTAAAAAAATTCGGACTTATCTATTTGAAAAATTCCTAGTACACTCTGGGGTCACTTAGACATAGAATTCCCATCAAAAAGCGTTAGACTGTTGGCTTACCTTCAACGCGGTGCTTATCACTTCAGCAATAACCGAGTTCAAAAAAATCGTAATGCGCTGCGACGGCAATAATAATAATTAATATAACATTATGACCCCGTTTACAGAGAAAAACACACATAAACGCACACTAATAATATTAATCGAGTTTCACAAATAAAATATACAAAAGGAATAAGAGATGATAATACGTATTATTATCATAACAGTAATATATAAATTGTGGTAGGATTTGGAATGCGCACTTACAACACGGTGGCTTACGCGAAAATAATATAATAATATTATTGTTACGATGATGATCGACTGGAAACGGTTCCCTCATCGTTTTCTCCCCACTTTGGAATTCATTCCACTTTGCAGGTCGTGCGAAGGTACCTATACAGAGAAACGTTTATAACGACGTCTTGTGAATCGTTCGCGTGCTGCCCCCGACGAGGGGGTGCGAGCTAAAAACGTGTACCCCACCCGGTGACTATTACCGCCGTTACTAAAAATATTGTACGGTTATTATTACTGCAATAAATATATACCTATACAGCTATTATAATAYATACATCGTAACGCTGTAATGTTGTCGTGTACCGCGTTTAATAATAATAATAACAACAATAATAAACCCTTTCGCAAAAATGACGATTATCATTTTAGARCGGGCGAACGCGACTCGAGTTTTCCGAGCGTGACGAAAAGCGTGGAACGAAAAAAGAAAAGAAAATTACCGATGGGACGGACAAAAAGAGGCGGAAAAGAGTGAAAACTTGCGCGTCATTATTTTACATTATAATGACGGCGCGGCGGGCGGGAGAGGTCACAGTCCTACCCGAGTCGCGAMGTACGCACGACGCCTTAACTCCATTACGATTACACATCTCTACTTTTCTTTTTTCAGTAGGTAGGTATATTATTATTATATTATGTAATATGATGAGCTACACATGAATGATGCCGAGCTAACGTCGTCGACGTATAACTACAGTCAAGACCGTGTTTAAGGGGAGGTTCGAAGGGGCAATAGGCCCCAGGCCCCAGGAATATGTTAAAAAGGAGCAACAATATTTATATGGAGATAAAAAAGTTTTCTGAAAAATTATAAGTTATATTAATAATTCAAATATATTAATATTATTTACCAGTCATCACTTATGGCATTTGCTTGTTTTTTTTTTTATTTTTAATTTTATTTATCTATAGTTAGAATTGCTTACTATAACTATAGTTATACAGTTAATAGTAAGCWAAGTCGGGGACGGCCCTGACTGCAGCACAACATTAAGGGCGCCATTATTATAATGTGAACAATAATACACATATATATTATATGTTTACGTAGGTAGGTAGGTAATATAATATTATTAAATATATGGCAGGTATTATGG